GCCGAGCCGCCCAGCACCCGAGCCGCCAGGTCGCTGAGCCGCCTTTCTGCATACCTACCCGACCTGCCCTGCCTGGTGAGCACAGTCCCACTGACACTGCGAGCTCTTTCCCTGCTAATTGCACTGCGTCGCTGTCGTCGCCATGGCTACCCCTAGTGTCCTAGCTTTTGACGCTGAGGGTCGCGCCATTGATTTTGAGGTCTGGTTAGACGACCTGCAGCTGTTCTTACAGTGCGACAGGGCTGACGACCTTTCTCTCTTTGATCTCACCTCTGGCGCCTCTCCTGCTCCTGCTGCTGATGCTGATCCCGCTGTCCGCTCTAAGTGGGCCACCCGCGATGCTGCTGCACGTCTTGCTGTGCGTCGCCACCTCCCTACCTCTGAGCGTGCGCACTTCAGTCAGTACAAGAGTGCTCAGACCTTGTACGACGCTGTAGTTGCGCGCTACTCCTCCCCTGCCACTGCTGCACTGAGCCGTCTCATGCTTCCCTACCTCTTTCATGACCTCTCTGCCTTTCCCACTGTCGCTGACCTCATTACGCACCTCCGCACTAGTGACACTCGCTACCGCGCCGCCCTTCCTGCTGAGTTCTGCGCTAAGAACCCCCCCCCCATGTACATCGTTCTCTACTACGTAGTCGCGCGCCTCCCTGACTCCCTTTGAGTGGTCAGGGACCACTTTCTCGCAGTCTGTCCCACCACCCTCACCGTCGACCTCCTCGGGAAGGCCCTCCTCGCAGCGGAGAAGAGCATAGTCGCTGTAGGTGCTTCTCGTGGTGACCCTCGCACCCCCATCTTTGAGGGGTGCTCTCCTTCCCCCTTGCTGCCCTCTGTTGCCTCTGCTGCTGCTGCCGACCTGCTTGGTCTTGAGTCGGTCGGCGCGGCGTCTGCCCCTAGTGGGAGACGTCGCTCCAGCAAGGGCAAGGGGGGCAAGGGCGCGGGTGGAGCTGGAGGGGGCGGTGGCGGTGGCGGCGGTGGCGGCGGAGGGAGTGGGGGTGGCGGCGGGACTAGTGGCGGGGGTGGTGGTGGTGGTGGCAGTTGCGGCGGAGACGGTAGTGGTGGTGCCAGCGGTGGTGGTGGAGGCAGCGGCGGAGGTGGAGGCGGCGAAGGGGGAGGCGGTGGAGGCGGCAGCGGAGGAGGCAGTAGTGGTGGAGGGGGTGGAGCTGGTCGGGGTGGTACCCAGCAGCGTAGCGGCGGTGGTGGTGGCCAGCGCTCGCAGCGGCAGCAGCAGCAGCGCTCTCGGGACATCCCTTCGCCTCAGCAGCTTCGTGAGTGGTACGCTGGGCGTCAGAGGGGTGGGGGTACTGGTCCCTGCACCTACGTTCTTCGTTCCAGCGACCGCGCGGGTGAGCAGTGTGGGGGTGCCCACGCCACCCAGCGCTGCTTTGGCCGCCTGACGGACGCCTGGCGTCAGCAGTTCCCTGGGGCTAGTGAGATCCCTCGCTAGGATGAGCTTCTCAGGGCTGGTGTAGCGATCTTTGATCTTGATTTTGATGCTATCCTTACTGCTATGTATGTTGTGGATTATAGTGAGGAGAATGAGGGTTACCGCTGTTTCCAGCCCGGCCCGGGCATTGGTACTGCTGCGCTAGGTGCTTGTGAGGCTGCTGCTCTAGGTGCCAGTGCGTCTGCGCTCTCAGGTACTGGTGAGACTGCGCTCTCACGTACTGAGTCGTCCTCGTCCTCCCTCACTTTCACACTTGACTCCGGAGCTTCTCGCTCCTTCTTTCGAGACCGCACTACCCTTACGCCGCTCGGCCGGCCGGTTGCAGTCTCCCTTGCTGACCCCTCTGGGGGTCCTGTCCTGTCTCACTTCTCCACTGTCCTCCCGTGTCCGGCTGCCCCTTCGGGCACCCTGTCGGGTCTGTACCTTCCCTCGTTCTCTACGAACTTGGTGAGTGGAGCGGACCTGCAGGATGTGGGTGTTCACCAGTTCACTCCTGCGAGTCAGCGGGTGACCCACTGCACGGAGGCACGCACAGGCCAACACCTGGCCACGTTCTCGCGTCGGCCGGGGTCGAGTCTCTACACCCTGACCGTTGAGTCTCCTCCTGTCCCTGCATCTGGTCAGGTGGCTGCGTCGGGTCAGGTACTTGCTGCTGCGTCCCGGTAAGGTCCTGAGTCTGCCCCCTGTTCTTGTCGCCTCCTGTCTCACGAGACTCTCCTGTGGCACCACCGTCTTGGCCACCCCTCCTTGCCCCGTCTTCGGAGCATGGCTTCCTGTGTCCTTGTCTCTGGTCTTCCCCAGTCTCTCCCTCCTCTCCCCTCCGGGCCAGGACCTTCCTGTGTCCCCTGTGTCGAGGGTCGCCTCCGGGCTACTCCTCACTCCTCCCACTTCCCCCCGACAGAGGCTCCCCTGCAGACGCTTCACATGGATGTGTGGGGCCCAGCCCCCGTCCGTGGGCAGGGTTACGAGCGCTACTTCCTGTTGGTGGTTGACGACTACTCGCGTTACACCACAGTCCTCCCCTTGCGCAGCAAGGGTGCGGTCACTGAGGTACTGATCGACTGGATCCGCGAGGCTCGTCTCCAGCTCAGGAAGAGCTTCGGCTCGGACTTTCCTGTTCTACGTCTGCACTCTGACAGAGGCGGAGAGTTCTCTTCTCGCCTTCTACAAGACTACTGTCGTGCACGGGGGATCCGCCAGACCTTCACGCTTCCGGACTCACCACAGCAAAATGGGATTGCTGAGCGCCGCATTGGCATGGTCATGGATGTCGCTCGAACGTCCATGATGCATGCGGCTGCCCCCCATTTTCTGTGGCCGTTTGCGGTGAGGTACGTGGCGCATCAGCTCAACCTTCACCCCCGGGTCTCTCGGCCTGCGATGTCCCCAGCCTTGCTGTGGACGGGGAAGGTTGGCGATGCGTCTGTGTTCCGTGTCTGGGGATCTCGGGCGTTTGTCCGCAACTTGTCTGCGGACAAGCTGTCCCCTCGTGCTGCTCCCTGTGTCTTCCTTGGCTTCCCCACTGACGCCCCAGGGTGGCAGTTTTACCACCCCTCCTCTCGTCGTGTTCTGTCCTCCCAGGACGTCACGTTCGACGAGTCAGTCCCCTTCTACCGTCTCTTCCCCTAGACATCCCGACTCCGCGTTCTTACGCGGAGGCCGTAGAGGGTTCCTACTCCTCTCAGTGGCAGGCAGCTATGGATGCAGAGATGGCTTCCTGGAAGTCCACAGGCACCTACGTTGACGCGGTTCCCCCTCCTGGGGCGAACATCGTCAGTGGCATGTGGATCTTCAGGGTGAAGCGGCCGCCGGGCTCTCCACCTGTCTTCAAGGCACGGTACGTTGCTCGTGGCTTCAGTCAGCGGCAGGGAGTTGACTACTTTCAGACCTTCTCTCCCACCCCGAAGATGACTACTCTTCGGGTTCTGCTGCACATAGCCGCTCAGCGCGACTACGAGCTTCACTCTCTCGACTTCAGCACTGCGTTCTTGCAGGGTAGCCTGCACGAGGAGATCTGGCTTCGCCGTCCACCTGGCTTCACTGGGACTTTCCCTCCTGGCACCCAGTGGAGCCTCCGACGGCCAGTCTACGGTCTCCGCCAGGCACCGCGTGAGTGGCACGATACACTGAGGACTACGCTTGCGGCTCTTGGGTTTGCTCCTTCTACTGCTGACCCGTCGCTGTTTCTTCGCACCGACACTTCCCTGCCGCCGTTCTACATCCTCGTGTACGTCGACGACTTGGTCTTTGCCACAGCGGACACTGCTGGACTCGCCTACGTGAAGTCCGAGCTGCTGAAGAGACACACGTGCACAGACCTGGGTGAACTGCGCAGCTACCTTGGCTTGCAGATCACTCGGGACAGAGCACGCCGCACCATTACCTTGACTCAGTCACACATGGTGCAGCAGGTCCTTCAGCGCTTCGGCTTCACGTACTCCTCGCCTCAGGCCACTCCTCTGCCTACTCGCCACTCACTCTCAGCTCTGCCTTCGGATGAGTCCGTAGAGTCGAGTGGTCCGTATGCAGAGCTTGTTGGCTGTCTCATGTACCTGATGACCTGCACACGACCTGACCTTGCATACCCTCTGAGCATTCTTGCACGCTATGTTGCTCCTGGGAGACACAGACCGGAGCACATGGCTGCAGCAAAGAGGGTATTGCGCTATCTGTGCAGTACGTCGGGCATGGGGCTAGTGCTTGGAGGGCGGAGTCCAGTGGTCCTTACCGGCCACGCGGACGCTTCTTGGGCTGACGACCAGGCTACGCAGCGGTCGTCACAGGGTTACACCTTCAGCCTTGGTTCCGGCTCTGTCTCGTGGCGGTCTACTCGCTCGTCTTCGGTTCTCGGCTCCAGTTGTGAGGCTGACATCTACGCCGGGGCCATGGCTGCACAGGAGCTTCGCTGGCTCACCTACCTGCTGACTGACCTTGGAGAGCCGCCTCGTTCTCCTCCAGTGCTGTACGTAGACAACAAGGCCATGCTGGCCTTGTGTCGAGAGCAGCGCTTGGAGCACAGAACGAAGCACATTGCTCTCCGCTACTTCCTTGCTCGTGAGCTGCAGCAGCGTGGTCAGTTGCGACTTGCGTACGTGGCCTCTGAGGCCAACACTGCTGATGTGTTCACCAAGGCACTCGCGCCTTGTGACCATCAGCGCTTTTGCACCCAGCTCGGTCTTGTGCCTGTCTTGCCTCACTTGCTCTCCTCTTGACTTCACTTGTACTGTGACATATATATATACCTGCTCTTGCTTGTCTAGCTCTATATATATATGTCTGTACTCCTGCATGTGAACTGACCTCTGGCCCTGCTCTTGTGCTCGGACTGTGTGGTGACTTTGTGATCCACCCTGAGCTTGCTTTGCTTTGCTTGACTGGTCTTGTGACCCCTTGTTCTCCCCCACTTTGCCTATGGGGGTGTGTCAGATTTATATGACATAGTTGCTGTAGGCTGTAGTGGGGTGGCACATATGGGGTACAGGGTTTCTAGGGTTGTATTTGTACCCAATCTTTCCTTAGTCATTTTCATTCCTGTTTTTCTTGCTTCACACTCATGACACACCTTCGCTCTACTGACGCTCGCTACGACGCCGCTCTCAAGCTGGCTTTTTTTACTGTGAACCAGCACCCGATGTACATCACTCTATACTACCTCGATTCTCCCCTTCTCGAATCTCTCCGCACCGTTAGGGATCACTCCCTCAGTTGACCTCGCTGAGCTCACGCTTGCCTCGCTGGAGAAGCATCTCCTCGAGGCCAGACCGGTACTGTCGCTGTAACTGCCTCTCGTGGCACTCCCCGATCCCCCTTCTTTAAAGGTGTTCCTCATCCCTTCTCGCGCCCTTTATTGCCACCACTGCTGCTGTTGGCTTCCTTCGCGCTGAGGAGGTCAGTGCTGCGTCTGCTCCTAGTGGGAGGCACCGCAGCGGCAGGGGCAAGGGGGGTAAGGGTGGTGGGGGTGGCTCTGGCGGGGGTGGTGACGGTGGTGGTGGTGGGGGTGGCGGTGGCGGTGGCGGCCGTGGAGGTGGCCGGGGTGGTGGAGCCGGTGGGGTGGGCGGAGGGGGCTCGGGTGGCGGTCGGGGTGGAGCTGGCAGAGGTGGAGGCTTTGGGGCGGCGAGTGGGGGTGCAACGGAGGCTCTGGAGGCGGACAGCAGCAGCGGCCACGCCAACAGGAGACACTCAACCCTTAGCACCTTCGTGAGTGGGTTGTCCAGCGTGGCTCCTCTGGGGGTGGTGTTCGTTGCCCGCATATCAGGCGCACGGGTCCCCGGACTGGCGACCCCATGCGGGAAGACTGGATACACTGATCATCGCTCTTGACTTTGACAACATCAATGCTGCTCTCTATGCTATGTATATTGGATCTTGCGCTGCTGGTGTAGAGGCTGCTACTCTAGGTGCTTGTGAGTCTTCTGCCACAAGTACTTCTTCTGCTGAGGCCTTGCATACCTTCACAGTTGACTCCGATGCGTCTGGATGCTTCTTACGCGATTGCATTACAATCACACCGCTCACGGCGCCTCTCCCATTCTCTCTGACTGACCTGTCAGGGGGTCCAGTCGTTGCACGAGCCTCCACTATCCTCCCGTGTCTAGCAATCCCCTCCTGCTATCTCTCAAGTCTCCACCTCCCCTCGTTCTCTACGAACTTGGTGAGTAACGCTGTCCTGCAGGGCGAGTTGGTCACTACCACTACTCCTGGGGGTCAGTGGTTGGCAATCTGTACGTGCTCACGGACTCGGTGCCACCTTGCTACGTTCACACGGAGACCTGGATCGGGACTGTACACACTGACCACTACGTTTGCACATATGGCTGCATCAGGTCAGGTGGCTGTGTCGGGTCAATAAGCTTCGTCTTGTTCGTGTCGCCTTCTCACGCAACAGTCACTCCTCTAGCACCACCGTCTTGGTCACCCCTCCCTGCCATGCGTGCGAGGCATGCACTCTCGCTCCTTGTCTCTGGACTCCTCACGTACCTGCCCCCACTTCCGCGCTCGCTTGCACCGTTATGCCTTCCTTGCGTCGAGGGGTGGCAGCGTGCCACTCCTCACTCCTCCTCGTTTCCCCCGACCACTGCTCCTATGCAAACTCTTCACATGGACGTGTGGGGCCCCGCCCATGTCCGTGGAATAGACCACGAGCGCTACGCTTTGCTGGTTGTTGATGACTACACGCGCTACGCGCGCTACACCACGGTCTTCCCCTTGCAGAGCAAGGCGGATGTCCGTGGTGTTTTGATCCCTGGATCGGCACTATTCGTCGCCAGCTGAGCGCACGGTTTCGGCAGGACCTTCAGGTCCTGCGACTGCACTCTGACAGAGGCAGTGAGTTTTCCTCCCGCCTTCTTGAGGACTTTTGCCGTGAGGAGGGCATCGCCCAGTCGTTCACACTTTCGGCCTCTCCGCAGCAGAATGGGATTGCTGAGCGCCACATTGGCTTGATCATGGAGGTTGCTTGTACCTCCATGATCCATTCGGCTACTCCCCATTTTCTTTGGCCGTTTTTTCTCCAAACTGTTTCAGCTGGCCGCCAGTTGAAAACTGAACACCAGCAGATGCAGTTGATCGGAGCTAGCGCACCAAGCACTTTGCCACCACCAACTTCTCTTCAGTGGGCCGCAGCACAACTCTGGCCAGCTGCCCCTCTCCAAATGAAGCATGAGGTTCCGTATGCAAAGCTGCATACATCACACATTGGCTTGATCATGGAGGTTGCTTGTACCTCCATGATCCATTCGGCTACTCCCCATTTTCTTTGGCCGTTTTTTCTCCAAACTGTTTCAGCTGGCCGCCAGTTGAAAACTGAACACCAGCAGATGCAGTTGATCGGAGCTAGCGCACCAAGCACTTTGCCACCACCAACTTCTCTTCAGTGGGCCGCAGCACAACTCTGGCCAGCTGCCCCTCTCCAAATGAAGCATGAGGTTCCGTATGCAAAGCTGCATACATCACACTCCCAATGAGTGACTGGTACTCATTTTGGTGCTCATCCTCAAGCACATCCTCCTCCTCAGCTGCTTTGTTTAGTTAAAGCCTGAAGAGGACGGTGTCATCATAGTGCAACCCCCAGGTACACCAAAGCGCTCCATGACACCAGAGATGTAGTGTGACTGATGCATCTTCTACCACCTCCTCTCAACATCCCTCTCAATCTGCAGCCCCAAGTAGTACTGGACATCCCCTAGCATCTTGCACTTGAAGTTGTCCATCAGCAGCTTCTGTGTCCTCTCAATCTGCTCCATGGAAGGTGAGAAGAGCAGTATGTCGTTGACATACACCTGCAGCAAGAGCAGCTGCTCCTTGTCTCCAATACAAAACAAGCTATAATCCGCTTAGGACGTCTTAAAGCCTCCACCCAGCAGCACCTCCTCCAGCTTCTGGTACCAACAGCTGGGCGCTTGCTTAAGGCCATAGATAGCCTTATTGAGCTTGCACACCCAGCTGGTCCCATCCTCATAGCCGTCTGGCTGTGCCATGTAGATATCCTCCAGCAGCACTCCATTGAGGAATGCAGTGGTGATATTCATCTGCTTCATGTGCCATCCCTTCACAGCTGCCCCAGCCAGCAAAGTTCTTAGTCTCACTGGCTTAGCAACGAGAGCAAAGATCTCCCTAAAGTCGACCTTCTCTTTCTGCTGAAACCCCTTGAACTGCTCCAAAGCACCATCAGCTCCACTCTTCACCTTGAGGACCCACTTGCTGCAGATCGGCCGTCGCCCCTTGGGTAACTCAACAAGCTCCCAAGTCCCATTCTCAATGAGACTGTTGAACTCCACAACCATGGCAGCCTTTCACTCCTCCTTCAGAGGTCCACTCAGTGCCTCCTCCAATGTGGCTGGTTCTCCAAGCAGAGGTGTGAAGAAACAGAACGCCATCTCCTCATCTTCTCCCTCATCTGCCTGGACAGCCCACACAGCAGCAACTTCCAGCTTGTGCCTCTGCTCTTTAGGCACCATCAGAAGCCCCATCCAGGCCCACACCCGCAGCAGGTCAAAGGATGGCTTCTTCCCAAGCCAACGCTTGTACGGCACTCAATGCTTGTCGCCAACATGCGTCAAGTCGCTATTCTTGACTGTGATGACATGGCGAACACCTTCAGGCCAGAACTTGTAGGGCATCCCTGCAGCCCCCAACAGAGTCTTAGCCGCCTCACTAATGGTCCAGTTGGCATGTTCAGCTATGCCGTTCTGCTGCGGTGTTCCAGGGCAGGTCAGTGAGGAACTTGGTGTATTCCGCTCCAAAGAAAATTCCCACCTCGGTCGCTCCTCAGCACCTTTACCAACTGCATCGCTTGCCGCTCCACCATCGGCAACCAATCCTCCTTGATCGCCGCTGCAGCATCGCTCTTCTTGGACAGCGACGTGCTCACGTGAAACGGCTCCATTCGTCCACCATGGTGAGGAAGTAAAACACTCCCCCAGTCCCCTCAGTCCTCATAGGACCCACCATGTCCATGTGCACCACCTCCAGTGGTTCCTTCGCCGATCCCTCCGCACGTGGAAACGGGAATCGTGCAAACTTGTTTTGCATTCACGTCTCGCAGGTGCCATACTGAGCATCATCACCTTGTAGTTGCAGCCCATGCACACACTTCTTCTTGTGCATCACCTACAATGTAGAAACACCCACATGTGCGAGCCGCCGATGCCACGTGGTTCAATTCTCTTGGCCCGAGGTAGTCGACGTCTTCGCCACCGCGCTTCCTCCAATAAGCTGCTCTCCTTGCACACTTTGCTGCTCCTCCTCGGTAACGCTCTCCTCCATAGATGCCGCGGTTGCCGCCTTGCCCGATTTCCGCCAAGGGAGAACCGGGATCTGCAACATCCGCTTGTGGACATCTTCCTTGCGCTGGAGGTCTTAAATGAGGTGCTCATCGTTGTAGGCACGATAGCGCTCCGAGCCAATCGTCTTGGTGTTCACACCCGCATCTCCCAACCGGCCGGTAGGAATCAGGTTCGCGCACAAGTCCGACAACCACAGCAAGTTCTTCCCTTGGTCTTGGCGCCCGTCGCGGATGTGACCGTAGGGATGGGTGCGGGCTGAATCTCTTCGAGTAGATCCTCACGACGAGTCATGTGCCAAGAGCTCCCAGGGTCAATCACCCAATGAGTGAGCGGGTGTAGGAGAACCTTGGCAGTCATGGGGGGGTCGGTTGCACCTTCATTTACGAAGAAGAAGAACCCCGCCTTCCGCTCCTCAAATTTTGCCCCCTCTCTCCTCATCCTACTCCTCTCCACTTGCTCCCATGACTCCCCCACTCCTCTTGCCACCATGCTGGTTGCTTGATGAACGCGAGGTGCTATCCTTAGGTTGTTGGTAGCACTTCCGTTAACAATGTCCGCGCTTCTTGCAGTAGAAGGACACCTCCTCTTGGCCCCTGCCACTATCATCCTTAGGGTTGTCCTTGTTCTTGCCCTTCCACTTCTTCGTGGAGCCACTCTTTCCACCTCCAACTCCATAGCCAGCCCCCTCCTCCGAGCACTCCACACTCGGGCGCCGCAAGTCCTCCCCAAGGATGCGCGCCTGGATGTAATCCACGCTCCATTGGGGCTGCTGGGAGTTGAGGTTGATGGCAAGGGCAGACCACGACTCCGGCAGCCGTATCACAATCTCCATGCATTTGCACACTCCAGGTACACCACACCGCAGCCTTGGAGCTTTGTGAAGATGTAACGCATCTCATCCAAGACCAGTTGCATCGGCTCTCCATCAACAAACTTGATGTCGCCCAGCCGCCGCGCGAGTAGCAAGATGCCGGTAGCGTGTGTCAGTGAATGCACATCCAGAAGCTTCCTCCAAGCCTTGGGGCTACACTCTGGATCACCCAAGAGGTCCTTGATGTGGTCAAGTTGTCGTCCGCCAACCGCTTGCACCATGAGCATGTACGCCTCGAGCGATCGCTTCATCCACGCTCATTTCAGCCCCGCGGACTCCGGCATCTTCTCCTTCCCCTCCACCAGACCCAATTGCTTGTATTGGGTGTACATCAGCCTCATGCGGAAACTCCAGTGCTCGAAGTCCTCCCCCATGAATTCTCAATAGAGAAAGTCTTCACGGGATCCACGGTTGTTGGAGATGGTGTAATAGACGTAGGTAGCGCATGGTTGGCTATTTGGTGAGTCCTCCGGAGTCTGTATTAGTCATGTTGAGGCCTTACAAACGATGGAAACTTGAGAAATCGTTTGGAGAGAATTCTGCCATAAATTTCGATTCTACGAAAATCGTCGTCGAAGACTGTATACTTCGAATTGGAATGCGGCTCGACCACCAATCAAAAGATCGCGAGTGGAGCTATTAGAAAAGTCTCAATCGTCGACATTGGTTGAGAATTGGTGACAATTCGTCGTCGCAAAGTTGACTACCTGCTCTGATACCACTTTTTGTTCAGGATCCGTCATTTTGAGAACTTACGACGAAGTCATTTCCCAACTAAACGCAAATCCGCTTGGTATGATTGTGAGCCTTTGGCTTAACTACCATCTCGAATTTGAATCACTTAGAAAGATGGTACAGATAGTGAGAACAACTTGAAACGTGCAGCAGCTACATTACTAGAATGGCGGAGGAAGGACAAGCAGTAAGGCATAGAATGTTGGAGTTGGGGACTCCAAGAGAACCATGGGAGGGAAGGGGTTCTCCAAGAGGTAGAGAAGGATGGTAGGAACTTTCCTAGCAGCAAGGATACAACCCTCATCATGAGGTCATTGAGGTGTCACATGCAAAATGCAATCTAGTTGGATTTTGCCGAAGTGTTGCAACATTTGCAACACATGCTAGAAAATTCTAGCCACCCCAATCAAGAAGTCGAAGTTGCCTTCCTAACCTCCAAACCAAAAAACTCTTTATAGTCATGTCCCAATAATCGCCCAATATAGATAATATCTCAAATCGATACAGAATTTCCCAAAACTTGGAATTTTTGTAACTTGGGAGATCTTGGTCGGAATAAGGCGATCTTGGTATCGCTGGAAAGCTCTGGCATTCTCCTGCATGTTCAAGCAAATAGACTTGGAGAAAAACATAGAGATGGTAATATCCAACAGCCATGTACAATGACATATACTCATGCAACTCATGCAAGCACAAATAACACGAACACTCGGCAGGACGTTAGGATGATATGCGCTCAAACTGACGTGCACTCAACAAACCCATCGCGGTCTGGATACTTATGCATGGAGATGATGCATTGAGAAGGGGGAGATGAATGAAGAGTGGAAAATGCATAGGGATGGGGGGGGGGAGGGGTGCATGGAGAGGGGGGAGATGCATGGAGAGGGGGAAGATGCATACAGAGGAGGGTGGTGCATGGAGATGGGGGAGTTGCATATAGAGGGGGATGATGCTTGGAGAGTTGGGAGGTGCGTGCAGATGGGGGAGATGCATGGAGAGAGGGGAGATGCATGGAGAAGGGGGAGGTGCATAGAGAGGGGGAAGAAGCATGGAGAGGAGGAAGATGCATTGAGATGGGGGAGATGAATGAAGAGGGGAAAGATGCATGGAGAGGGAGGGAGGGGGGGGGAGAGCATGGAGAGGGGGAAGATGCATGGAGAGGAGGGAGATGCACGTAGAGGGGGGAGATGTGTGGAGAGGGGGGAGATGCACGGAGAGGAGGGTGGTGCACGGAGATGGGAGAGATGCATGGAGAGTTGGGAAATACATGGAGAGGGGGAAGATGCATGGAGAGGGGGAAGTTGCATGGAGAGGGGAAGATGCATGGGGACGGGGGGGATACATGGAGACGAGGGTGTTGCATGGAGAGTGGGGAGATGCATTGAGACGGGGGAGATGCATGGAGGGGGGGGAGATGCATGGAGAGGGGGGAGACGCATGGAGAAGGACGTGATACATTTAAGAGCATTGAAGATATAATGTGATGGGGATGAAAGAGATGTGTATAAACTCATGAAACATACGTGCACCATCTTATGAATAAATCACCAACACAAACCGGCAACACCAACACGCACTGTCGAGTACGACTAATTATTTGTCATTCGTCCTCGATTACGGTATGGATCCTACAGTACCAACTACGTCCAAACCCGACACCCAAGTCGCCCGTTCACAAAGATTTGTTGCTTAGATGCAAAACATCAGGGAAAAACCATCGATGAAATTCACAAGGGGAACACCTATGCAAATATTCCAACCCCCGACGCCGTGAGCTCGGCATGACTTTGTGGCAACTATCCCCCCCCCCCCCCCCCCCCACACCGCCCCCTCCTCCCCTCCCCCCCCCCCCCCCCCACCCTTCTCCCACCGCTGCCTCTAGCATTGCCCGCGCACCGCCGCCACAGCCGCTTGCGCCTGCGCATTGCCGCTGCTGTGCTCGTGCTCCCGTCGCCGCCGCTCATGCTGCTTGTGCTGACGCGACCGCTGCTGCCACTCGCGCTGCTGCGACCGTCGCTGCCGCCCGCGCGACCTGTTGTTGCCGCTTGTGCTCGCGCACGCGCTGCTTGCGCTCGCGTTGCCGCTCGTGCTGCCCACTGCTGCAACGCCCATGTCGCTCGCTGCTGCTGCCGCCCACAGCTCTCGTTAGTGCACCCACCTGCACCGCTCGTAGTGCCAGCAGCGAGTGCCAGCACAATGGTTCACCATAACCAGTTCTTAGCCGCCCGAGCCACCTATCCTACCCGAGCCGCCACAATTGCCTGATTCACCACCGTCGTCAGTGTCTAGTCACACTATCTGTTCCTAGTGCCATTCTGGGCGTTTCTCCTATATTCTCGTCTCTGCCGCGCCTCCGCGTCTCTCTATGACGTCCTCTATGGCTTCCTAGTTTGTGCTGCGCTTTGATGCAGAGGGCCGGGCGATAGATATTGACGTGTGGCTAAGTAACGTTCGGTTGTACCTGCAGAGCCAGCGCTTGGACGATGTATACCTTAGCACCCACGCGCCGCGTGAGTCATCTGCCCCCCCACGCCCCCCTGCTCTTGCAGATGACGCTTGCTCAGCAGCACAGGAGACCCACGCTATGGCCCAGGCCAAGCACTCGATCTGGGTGTTGCGCGATGCAGCTGCCCACCTTTCCCTCAGTCATCTGCCCCCTCCTACCGAGCGTGTGCACTACCACCAGGTCAGGACGATGGATGAGTACTTAGATGCTATCATTGTTATTACTCTAACCCTTCGTTTGCTACCCTATGCCATTTCATCATGCCTTTTCTCTTTCCAGACTTGTCTACTTTTCACGATGGCCCACCTTCGCTCGCTTGACACTCGCTACCATGACCCTTGCAACACTAAGCAGCTTGTATAGTTCCCCTCTCACATCTGTCTCACCCTTCACCTCTTCGCCGCATGCCTCCTTGATCGCCTTACCACAGCGTGTGACACCATCCTCGCCATGCACCCTACCCGGCTTACTCTCAACCTCTTTTTGACTAGTCTCACTATCTCGAGAGCCGCCTTCGCACCATCGCCATGACTACCGATGAGGTGGTACCCCTGTCTATGCTGCCTAAGCCTCTGTAGCGGAGCCGGCTTCAACTACAGGCAGAAAGTTGCACCTACAAGCCAGCGCGGTAGGCACAAGAGTGGTCGTGGTCGTGGTGGAGGTGGAGGTGCTGTCATGTCAGGAGGAACAAACGCTGGAGGCCGTCGTGGGTAGGGAGGTACAGATGGAAGAGGTACTGATACTTTGGGTGCGGTGGTACAACAACAACAGCAACAGCTGCCGCAGCAGCAGCAGGCGGTGCAGTAGTAGGCCTTTTAGCAGCAAAAGGATCCTGGTGGTCTGGAGAGCGCTGGCCGTAGTGGCGGCCTTGCAAGCTGGGTGTCGGGAAGATGCCGGGCCATGCTAGTACCATTGTCAGACTATTGTAGGCATTGGGTCTGTCTGTGGTCGTCAGAACCACTCACCGGCACACTGCTTCCGTTAGCTCGACGACTCTATCTCCTTGGTCATCAAACTGCTCTTTTTGACAGAAACTCTCTGATGCAACGTGGTGTGCCTATCTCTGTTATGGATATTAATGATGTTACTGCTGCATTGTATGTTTCTGACTCTAGTGCTTTCGGGCCTTTTTACTCGTGTGCATCTAGCTTCGGATCATTAGGTGTTTCTTGTGTAGGCTCCTCTGCTAATGATAGCACTGGTTGCCCACTTTGGATGCGTCGACTCCCTTCGCGCTTGTCCCCGATGCCTCCATAGTGTTTCTTCTGCGACCACACGAGCCTCAAACCTCTTCGAGCTCCAGATGCAATTGCGCTGGCTGATCTCTCCTCTGGACCGGTCATCGCGCGCAGCACTACTACACTCCCATGTCTAGCAGTCCCCTCTGGCTCCATCAAAGGTTTGGATATCCCTCCGTTCTCCATGAACTTGATTGGTGTGTGGGTCATCTTAAGGACCTGGGTGTCAAAACGAACGTTTGCTGGGCGAGGTAGGGGACCACGAACATAGTGTGCAGGTGCTGGGTCGGGCAGGTCGCGCAGTCGCCGCTGCACTGCCTCCTTAGGTGTCTGTTGCGACGTCATCGGTCCCTGCTGTTGCTCCTGTGGCTCCTCCTCTGCCCTCTTTCGCTGCTACTGTAGCTGCACCTGCTGCTGCGGCCGGGACTCTTGTGCTACCCATTGCTGCGGCTGTGACTCCTCCTCTATTCTCTCCTGATGTGGCTGCAACTGCCGCTGCTGCTGTGGCTATGACTCCTCCTCCACTCTCACCTGTTGCGGATGTGACTCCTCCTCCACTCTCTCCTGATGCGGCTGTGACTCTTCCTCCACTCTCTCCTGCTGCGGCTGTGGCTCCTCCTCTACCCTCTCATGTCGCTGCGACTGAGATTGCTCTCATCGCTGTTGCTGCTTTCATGCCCTCTCAAACCGCTCCCGCTCCTCCCTCTCCATCCGGTCTAGACGCTGCACACGGGTCAGGAAACGTATAGTGTGCAGTGTAGGCGTCGCAGTGCGCGGTGTAGTCTTTGCAGTGCCTGTGTCTCCGCCTCCGACAACCCCAGAATCATAACCTTTGGCAGCAACACCCTCGAGGTCTCTAGTAACTCCCGTAGGAACACCCCCAGGCTCCGCAGCAACTGGTAACAGAGCCGACCACGGAGGGAACTGTGGGATAGACAAGAAGCCAGGAGTGAGGCGGGCCGAGGCCGCCGAGTCGAGACAGCCGTGGCTCCACAGGAAAGGTTTCCACCCTCACACCCCCTGCACCCTAAGAGCCAGCACCACCAAGTCCAGCAGCCGGCAGCCTCAGTACCCCCACCCCTCGCAGCTGCACCTCCTGCAACCCCAGACACGACAGGGACTGAACACTGAACACTGCTGAACACTGGGGAGACGACTGCGGAGTGACGTGCGACACACCTGACGGGGCAGGACGCGAAGAAAGGAGAGAGGGGGGGGGGGGGGAAGGGGAAGGGGGGAGGCTACCAAGGTGACGACAGGGGGGTTCAAGGGTGAAGAACGGGTGGGTCAGCTGGTTACTGGTGAGGCTACGGGAATTGGTGGGGAAACGGATTCGAGTGGGGCGACTGGTTACGGGTGGGACAGCTGTTTACGGGTGGGGAGGCGGGACCTGATGGGTCAGCGGAAATGAGTGGGGTTGCGAGAACAAGTGGGGCGGCTGTCGACGGTGGGAAAATGGGCGACGGGTGGGGCGCGGGGCAAAGAACGGGCGACGGGTGGCAGCTAACGGACTGCGCGTGCGTGCGGCTATGGCTGCGCGTGCGCACGGCTACACGTGCGGCTACGACTGTGCGTTCTCGTGCGTCTGCTGCCCGCTAGCGGGCTGACGAGCAACGCGTGGGGCAAAAAATAGGTGATGCGCGGGGCAAAACGAGTGATGCGTGCGAGGCTAAACGGGTGATGTGTGAGCTAGTACGGTGACGGGGCGTTTCGGACATTAGGGCGCTACCAGCTAAATCGGGGCATGGGGCAATGGGCCCATAAGAACTTAGTGCTCTATACCATGTCGAGAACCTAAACGGGTCAAGAATTTACTAAGAAAAAACAAGGTACAACAAGATATAGCAAACCATAGGGAATAGGAATGTAACACCATCAACCTAAACAACACATATAAAATATATGTTGATACAACCTCTACAGCTGCCTCCGCTTCCTTCTCCCACACACTAGGAGTCACGTCTAGCTGCATGGTGATTTGCTGCTGAAAACAATTAGCCTTCGTCTGTTTTCCCCAGCTCCCATACAACATATGGACCAGCTCCAAAGGCTTCGTGCTCCTGTCAGCCTTCTTGCTTCTTGCTAAACCCTATGGAAGAAGCGGGTGAATTTGCTCAACATCATTAACAATTATCATCACTTGGCTGTCCGCTCAGCTTCAATCATTTGACGGCTCCATCCTTCCCCAACTGCTTCAGCAAGGGCATTGCCACATGCCCCACACGTCAGAGTGCCGTTGCCCAATCAGTATCCCCAGATCTGGCCGATACTCTCACACCAACTGCTCTATCAGCGTTGCACTCCCCTTGGGATGGAGACCCCTCTCTAGCTTGTCCCCCTGCCACACCAACAACGGCAGCTGCCACATGGATCTGTACACGTCCTTGCTCTCGTGCAGATCCCAATGCATCCGTGCTAGAGCTCACCCCAGCTTTGGCAAGCTTATGGAGGGAAAAAAGGTTGGCCTTAAGGTCGGGGATGAGCAATACGTCGTGCAGCACCAGGGCCTTGCCATCCGCTCCCTTGAAAGCAGCTCGTCCCGCACCAGCCACCTTTAACACGTATCCTGAGGGAGATCACACCTCAGAGATCGGTGCAGCATGTAGGTCGTCCAGCAAGTCCTTGCGGAGCGTCATCGTCCATGCGACACCCATGTCCAACATTAATGGTCGAGAGGGTTCGGTTTTGCTCCAACCTTGGCAAAACCGTCTCCT